GTTTAGGGACTAAAACGATAATTATCCAAAACAGGGACCAAAACATAATTTTACCAAAACTGGACCAAACTGTAAATAGATAACCATACTTGAATTTCACCCATAAACCATCCTTAATTATGTCTAGAACAAACCAGGGACCGAACTGTAATTTTTATAAAGTTTAGGAACTAAAATATAAATTCCCAAAATTGAGGGACCAAACTGAAAATATTCCATATCAATTATCAAACTAAGATTCATCATCCTTAATTTCATGATTATATTGTACAGAATCTCAAAATACATGTGAAATTGTAATTTTTCCAAAGTTTAGGGACTAAACTAAAACTTTCATAACTTAAGGACCAAAATAAAATTTGGTCATCTTCAATCTCAAGACCATTCTGTCCAGATTTTACAGAAATATAAAAATTAATTTCTTAACCTATAAAAATTAATTTAATCAAATCAACTCATAAATCCCTATTTTCAATAACATACTAATTAATCACCTAACATTAAACCCTTAATAATTATAAATCAATCTTAACAATATAAACTTTTAATCCTTATAAACCCTAATCTCTTTTTTAATAATTCTATAAACAAACTATAATCGAAAGTAATACAAAGAGAACCATTTACTCGCTGCTTCCACCTTTTTTGAACAAAAAATTCAAGATCAAAAACTAAACTCTTTGATTTGAGAAGGGGAGGGTCATGGTGGCTACAGGAAGGGAGAAAAAAAATTCTATTGCAACTCTTTCTTAAATACTAAGCTTAACTTAGGTTGAGTTTGAGTTCACTTGAATTTAAATTTGAGCTAAAAGTTTAGGTATTACACATGTAGTCAGTTTTTAATCCTTCTTTGGCACCCAAATGAGAGTATTGCTATCGAGAAAGTGACAAACAGCTGGTCCTGGCTTAATTTTGAGAACTTGAAACGCCATATGGTCTGGACTCCAAGCTGATGTGTTCAGGTGGCAAACCGTTACAGCTTTCACTTTCGTGCCATCAGCACCCACTAATGGAACCTCGTCAACCTCTGTGTCTGCGATTACATGGCAATAGTGCACTGCATAAGGATATCTCATCTTGTGACACACTGCTGCTTTATGATCTCCAATCATTGTCGCTTTGGCCGAAACAGTATACTCTTGCTTCTTGCCTGCGTCAGTGGAGAGTACGCGAACATTCAGGCCAAGCCTTTCAACACTAAAATCAATTAATGACTCCAGAGATGTAGCACAGAATTTTTCTTCTCCTTCCATGTTTGGCTCCTCACATCCTCCTATTTCATCTCTGATGACCCGAGCCTCTTTTGAGTTGACTTGTAGTGCAAAGTAGTTCAAAATCTCTCGTATATATTTTGTCACTCGAAAATGGTATAGACTC